TTACTTCCTCCTGAGGGGGGGGATGTTGAGATCACAAGGAGATGGACTTTGATAGTAGTTGGGTGGACCAGGGTCAAGGCAGCATCATTTTCCCAAGAGACTGGTTGGTCAAGTGGATGAAGGGAATTTAGATAAGCAGAGAGGAGGTTGGGAATAGCCTTCTACTTCACTGTAAAATGGAGATAGTACTTGTTTCATAGGATTGCTATAAGGACTCAATGAAATACAATATCTTTAAAGTATCTGTGCAGTGCTGTATGACACATAATGTAATTGCTATTTTTGTTACTCTTCTGGACTGAATATAGTGTGGTTCCTTCTGTCATCTTTAAATTTGTTCCTTCACAGATGCCTGACTATCCCTTTAACTGGGAGGTATCACATAGTTTTCCTCTTAAATAACAGCTGGTTACCTGAAACATAATGTTTAAAAAATTCCAAGTCCATACTTGGCTTAAGCAGGAAAGAATGTGATCAGTTAGTGATATGAAGTCAGGTGTAAGGCGGGCTGGAGGCCAGGAATAGTGGTGTATAAGTTGTTGGAATAACAGTATGTAAAGCAAGTATTTATCATCAGTACCTAAGTCCCATTATTGCCTTTTTTTTTTTTTTTTTTCTAGTCTTCCTTTCAGTTCTTCCTGTTACATTCTACAATAGAAACTGGCAAGTATTCAGAAGTAGGGTGCCAAATTTGACTCTATATGTCTAGTTACTCAGTAAATATGTTTTGAATGATTAACTAAGTGAAGAAAATGTTAACCTTAGAGTAGAAAAGATCCTGATTGGTCCCAACATTTAAAAATACTTTTATCCTCTACAGAGCTTAAGTTCTCAAGGAGGATTACTTTTTTTTTTTAAATTTCTTTATTGATTAAGGTATTACATATGTTATTCCCTCATTATCCCCCCATCCTCCCACTTATGCTCTCACCCCCCTTTGTCTGTGTCCATTGATTGTGGTTTATTTTTATCAGGTTATTTTCCTAATGGAAACCACCCATGTGAGACAATGAAAATCTTTTTAAAAATATTTAAAATCAATATTTTTAAAGAGAGGAAGGGAGAGGATAGATAACTAGAAAGATCAATCAACTGTCTCCTGCACACCTCCTACTGGGGATGTGCCCACAACCAAGGAATCGAACCTGGGACCTTTCAGTCTGCAGGCTGACGCTCTATCCATTGAGCCAAATCGGTTTTGGTGACAATAAGGATCTTGATTAGGGAAGAAATGGGCTGGAACAGAAAGAGGCATTTTTTATTAGGAAAGAGGTTGGATTTTAAGAAATGTACGTCTGAATGGCTTTTAGCTTTGAGATGGGTGGGTGCCAGGGATGGGATAATAGGGTTCCAGGCTGGTTCAAAAAGGGGAAAGTATGGTGAAGATAAATGACATTTTAATATTAACAGTGATAGGTGTTTACTTGTAAAAACACTAGAAAATTTTCTTCGTAGTCTTGCTTTCTGCTCCATTCTCTAATATTCTATGTGCCCTACTTTCTATTCCTAGAAACAGTTTTATAATATTGCCTTTGATTGTCTAGGTTGGCACTTGAGCTTTGACCTTTCTCATTCTCCCATTTTACTCCCATTTTATTTTACTTCCCTTTGCTTATTTCCTTTTATCCTAGGAACACATATCCTAGGTATTCTAAACCTTTCCTGGGTACTATTAATAGGTGGAACTACATTGTCATACCCAGTCACCTGACATTCTACTGAAAGAACAATAGTGAATGCAATTTCCTTCTTGTATCTGATTTTCCATAAGAGAGGGTCTTGGTTTCAGAAAGGAAGAAAGGAGTAGGAAAATGGATGGTGAGAAAATGAAATTACAGAATTTGCACTGGCTGTCCCTTCCTACTTTTTTGTTGTTGTTGTTGTTAATACTGACCTGAGGATATTTTTTCCATTGATTTTTAGAGCGGAAGGAAGAGAGAAGTAGAGTCAGAGAGAAACATGGATGTGAGAGATTCATATTGATTGGTTGCCTCATCAGGGATTGAGCCTGCAACAGAGACTATGAAGAAAATTTACAAGTAAACACCTATCACTGTTAATATTAAAATGTCACTTATCTTCATCATACTTTCCCTTTTTGTACCAGCCTGGAACCCCATTATCCCATCCCTGGCACTCACACATCTCAAAGCTGAAAGCCATTTAGACATACATTTCTTAAAATCCAACGTCTTGCATATGTAGGGAGGGGTTTGGGATGGGAATAGGGGGATAAGGACAATTATGTGAGACCATAATCAATAAAATAAGTAAATAAATAAATAAATAAATATCCAATGTTTTTCCTAATAAAGACTGCCCCTTTCTGTTCCAGCCCATTTCTTTCCTAATCAAGATTCTCATTGTCACCAAAACCTTGACTGGAATCAAACCCTTGATCCTTCCGTCTGTGGGGTGTTGCTCAACCACTGAATCAAAACGATAGGGCTGTCCTTTCCTACTTTTTAAAAGTTATTTACCTTTGAGTAATGTGGGTAAAAGTTTTGTTTTTATAAAACTGTTTTGCTCATTAATTTACTCTGTTTACATATTCCTTAAAATTCACGAAATGAGATTGCATATTCTTGGCCACACTCTATCTTCATATTTAAAAATGGACTTAATGTCTCTAATTATATGATTTAATTTATAGTTTTTTTTAAAACTACAATTGTATTTCTGAACCTTGATGTCCAACTATATTTAGAACTCTTCATTTTGGAGCCAGGAAATAGAGTAGAAGTACAGAGGTGCTTTAGGCTTACTGTGAATACAAGTAAATGGAAATGTCCACTACTTAACAATGGGATAACTACAGAAAGATCTGATTCTAGATCAGAGTTATCTTTTATGTCAACTTTAAAGCAGTCTTTCTTATGCCTCTTTCCTTTTTACCTAGTTTTTCAGTTTGATTTGATCACAATATCGGTTCTATATTTAACTAATGCTATTTATAATTAATTTATAATATAAAAGTCTCAAAATCTGTTTGAAATCTGCTGGCGACATTCAGTCCATTAATTAAATTCATACCTGTTAAGACGCTAGATCTTTGTGGTAATAGAGTGAGGAGGATTCAACAGAGAGTCATTCATTCTGTGAGTGGCATTGTCGAAGTTGAACTGGTTTTACTTGCAGTAAGAATTTCTTGTGCTTCAGTGGGTGAGCTATCAAGGAGATACAATGAGGTAGGAAACAATGATCTGTGTCAGGTAATGATGTTCTCTTCAAAATGTTGTGACAAGTCAGTTTCTAGGTAAATAATAGTACTTAGTTAGTTTTTAAATAAGTTTATGTGGAGGAATTGTGTACATTCTAAAAAATAACATTCTGTGGAAAATCAATTATATCTGTAATGATGAGTTGTTATTCATTCTTTCTCTATTAATTTAAAAGTTTGTCTTCAGCCCATGCAAACATTCAATTCTGATAATTTTATTATTTAAAGTGAAAAGCATTGGGGCATTATTAATTTGTTTTACTGATACATAGGAGTAGATAATGAAGAATGTGCCTTTTTCTTTTTAATGTATATGCTGTATATATTCAGGAGTTCATGTATACTTTTCTCTGTTAAATTCTGAAGAAACATATTTAACAACATGCCAATGAATCTGCTTATTTTGCTGAGCTTTCAGTTTATAATTTATTATTCATTAAACTATAAGAAATATTTAAAGTGCATTTTTTTTTTGTGTGTGTGTGGATTAAGATTTAACAAAGATTTTTACTTTACAGTGTTAGAGATTTTGATATTCAGTTTTGTGACCAGACTGTTGACTGTCCAGTGCTTTAGTCTCTTCAGGCTGCTATAACAAAAATACCATAGACTGTGGCTTAAACCACAAACATTTTCCACAGGCCAGGAGGCTGGGAAGTCCACAATCAAGGCGCTAACAATTTGAATCTTGGTTCATATGCAGTCAACTTCTCACTGTGCCCTTTTGTAGCAGAAAAAGCAGGAGAGCACTCTGGAGTCTGTTTTATAAGAGCACTTATCCCATTCATGAGAGCTTATCCCTCATGACCTTATCACCTCCCACTGAGTCCATCTTCTAGTTCCATCACATTGGGGTTTAGTATTTTAACATAAATCTTCCCTACATTGGTAGTTATTGGGGATATGTGTTGGACTTGTCTTTTGTTCTGGGTAGAGTGGAAAGAAATGGACAGATATAATTAAAAAAAAAGATTAGTCACAATTAAAGAAGAATTTAGTTAACTGGAATATAGATAAAAAGAAAATACCCAGAATACAGTACATAAAGAAAAGGGGAAAGGAGATGAAAATTTGAGAGACATGGAGGATAGCATCAGAAGGTCAAACATAGATCTAATTAGAGTTCCAGAGGGAGATAATGGAGAAAATATGATAGAGACAATATTTAAGAGATAATAGTTAAGAATTTTCCAAGATAGAACTAAAATTCAGGACAATAGTATATGAGTTGGCCTGGGAAGGAGAGTGATGGATTTGAAGAATTCAAAGGGGAAAAAAGTAGAGGTATTGATTCATTTTACACATTTGTTTAAATTACTGGGAAATCATTGTAAGAATAGAAATGGACTGTATGGTTTCTATTTTAAAAAAGGGAAATGTAATGAGGAGAAGAATCTCAATATAAAATAAGCCTACCAAAAACAAATTGAGGTGAAGAGAAAGTATAAAATAGAATAGTAGATATGAATTCAAATATCTCAGCACTCCAGTTAAATAATAATATTGTAAGTGGAAAAAAATTAAAAGAAAAGCAAAATCTAGATAGGTTAAAGCATTATCTCACCTATTTTTAGATGTTACATCTATTGGAAGTATTAGTTTTATGCTTGGTAAATGTTTAAACTGTTGTAAATTGAGGTGAATTAGTTGGAGTTAAAAAAGCAGGAGTATGAATAGTCTATGTGTATTTTAATTTGACACTTTGATGAGAATAAATCATTATGTTTATATATAATGACTCTTCTAAAAGAGTTTTGTGTTTTTTTTTTTTTAATTTCAGACAACCTAATGAAGCCTCTTTTGAATTATGGTATTGCTTGGTGAGCATATCTTTTGTACTTTATATTTCTTTTCAGAATACTGTTGATTAATTTATGTAAATGAGCTGTATTTTTTATTCACTGTTGTAGTATGTCTATGGGCTTCCTGGTTGAAGAGACTGCACCAGTTGTTTGGAGAGGCCTTATGGTGATGTCAGCCGTTGAAAAACTGTTGAGGCAGGTAAGAAATTTGCATTGAGTATCATTTTATCATTGGCACACTGTGGTTAATGCAGCTGCTTTTTGGAGAGCTGTTAAAATTTGCATTTAGGTTTCAGATGTTTTGCAAAAGAATCCAGTTGATAAGCTAAATGTATAATGAGTTATGTGGCGCCAAAATCAAATTTTACTGTTATGTGATTTAATCTTTCCTATTATTTATGAGTACTAAAAATCCAATATCTTATTTTATTTTGTTCTGTTGCTCTATTGAAGCTGCAATCAGATGGGGAAATCTATTTTATAAGTAATCTGCCTCCTTTAGATTTATGGTTAATCTCATTGTGGCCAGTATGAGTTATAAGGGCAGTGTAGAAATGGCTCAGTGTAGAAAAAATTATATAAACTATAGTGCTTCAGAACAAAATAAAATTTTGTTTTACCCTGAGTTCATATGGCTATATATTTGTCTATATAATATATGCCCAATCAACTTCAATTAATTCTTAATGAAGAGAACAGTTGATTGGATTTTTCTGAAAATATCAGAAGGGCTATATGTTATTTATAGAAATAAATTTTATTTTTTTTCTTAGAAGCTCTGAATTTATTAGTTAATTATATTCTAGGAAAATGTAATAAGTAATTTGGATTTTCTCCACCTATTTACAGTAATTACCTCATATTCAGATTTTACTTTGGATCAGGTACTATGCTATAGGTTGACAATTTTAATCATAGATATTCCTAATGTATGTATTCATATTATATATGTATATATGTACACATACACACACACACACACACAATTATTTCCAGTTGTGAATCAAGAAGATGAAATATGAAACTTTTCTGAAACTCTTCTTTTTTCATTGTAACATCATGTCTTCCTTCTGCTGCTTGAGTCTGATAAATGTACTCTTTTTTAAATGTCTCTGGACTCAGTGTCATTCTTTTCCTAGTACATTTATTTAAGTCTCTTGGCTGCATCTCCTCCTCTTTTACACTCAGTTTTCAAAATAGGTTATTTTTGTTTTACTCTCAGTAACACCCTTTCTCTGCCAATTTCTTGTTGACCTTGAACTTGACTTGTGTTGGTAACAGCCCCTCTTTCTCTCTCTTTTTTTTTAAAGGAAATTCTAAGCAAATCTCAGTTCAATTTATAATAAAAGTTAGAGTCAATAGAAAGTTAGAAACACCAAAAGGAAATATCTTATTTTGTTGTGAGAATGTTTTAAATATGAATTTCCCCCTTCTATATTAGTGTTATAATATAGAAGGGGGAAATTCATATTTAAAACATTCTCAATAGGAGATGATTAAGAATTCCTCCCAAACCTTTGTGAATGGCCACTGAAGATAGAAATACTTCATCTTTCCACAGTGTCCATAGACTTATTAGAGATTCAAGTCAGTGATAAGAGATACAGAGATATAATTTTTTTAAAAATGCCTGGCTGGGAGGCTCAGTTGGTTGGCACAATGTCTTTTACACCAAACGATTGTAGTTTGATTCCCTATCAGGGCATATATCCAGGTTGTGTGTTTGATCCCCGGTTGGTGTGCATATGGGAGGCAGCAGGTTGATTTTTCTCTTTCAAAATCAATAAAAGACATATCCTCAGGTGAGGATTAAAAAATAAAAAAAGAGATCCAGGTCAAGCATCCAGCTCAGGGATGTAGCATCCCCATATTTATACCCATAACCTATCCCTAGCCAGATGTGCATGAGTTCTCTCTTTTCTACTTAAGTGTATCGTTTTTAAAATCCCAGGGACTCTTTTAAATCTCAAATTCCAATAGGTGACAAAAGGATCTTTGCTGGTGAGTGCTTGAGGGTGGCAGAGTGAGAGCGTGTGTTCATGTGCCCTCAGGAGAGGGGCAAAGGGAGTTTCCCATAGAATTAGTGAGATTGAACCATTTAGCAAGCAAGCTCTTCCTCCTGGAGCCTGCACCTTTCCTCTCCCCATTTTGTTCCCCCAGGCTAGTCACCTTTACCTTTCTCTCCCCTAAACTCCAAGGGCTATTCTTTTGCCTCTAACTTTCTAAATAAACGTTCTCTTACTTTAAAAAATTCTGATAGTACAAATTAATTAAACTTCAAAAAGGTTGTGCCTGATTTCAGACTTATATTTAGTATATGCTTTTATAAAAGAAGAAAATGGTTTGAGAAAAGAGGTGAAAGGATCAAAAGTCTGCAGGAACCAGAGTATATTATTATTATTGTTATTATTATTTTGTGGAGTGTTAGGTAAGAGAGGAGGGGCAGGATCCCAATTCCATATTCAGTTAATGTCCTGCCATAACCCAACCTCTTTTATTTACTGCTGAATACTGTCAGAGAATCATATAAAATAAAAGAGTAATATGCAAATGGACCATCACTTCAACACACAACATGGCCGCCCCCATGTGGTCAAAGATGGCTGCCCCCATGTGAACACAAGATGGACACCACAAGATGGCCAGCAGAGAAGGGTAGTGGGAGGGACCAGGCCTGCAAAGGAGGGCAGTTGGGGTCAATCAGGCCTTCAGGGGAGGGCAGGTGGGAATGACCAAGCTGGCAGGGGAGGGCAGTTAGGTGCGAACAGGCTGGCAAGGGAGGGTAGTTAGGGGGGACCAGGTCTGCAGGAGAGGGAAGTTGGGGGGATCAGGCCTGCAGGGGAGGGAATTTGGAGGGGGACCTGGCCTGCAGGAGAGGGCAGTTAGGGGTGACTAGGCTGTCAGGGGAGGGCTGTTAGGGGTGACTAGGCCGGCAGGGGAGCATTCAGGCATTTATCAGGCTGGCAGGGAAGTAGTTAGGGGGTGATCAGGCTGGCAGGCAGAAGCAGTTAGGAGAAATTAGGCAGGTAGGCAGGTGAGCGGTTGGGAGCCAGCTGTTCAACTGCCCAGTGGGAACGGGCCTAAACAGGCAATCGGACATCCCTTTACGGGTCCCAGATTGGAGAGGGTACAGGCTGGGTTGAGGGACAACCCCCACCCCTGTGCGCGAATTTCATGCACCGGGGCTAAAGTATAGAATAATTGTGTTAATTGCCACCATTATATAATTTTTAAAAATATATATTTTATTGATTTTTTTTTTTTTTTAACAGAAAGGGAGAGAGATAGAGAGCTAGAAACGTCGATGAGAGAAAACATCGACCAGCTGCCTCTTGCACACCCCCTACTGGAGATGTGCCTGCAACCAAGGCCGTTAACTGGAATTGAACCTGGGACCTTTCAGTCCGCAGACCGACGCTCTACCACTGAGCCAAACCGGCTTCGGCCATTACATAATTTTTGACTTTCCAATTCAGCCATTGTCTCAACACTTTAGTCATCTGATTTTATTTGTTTTTCTCAACATTTATTAAATGCTCAGCTTAAAAATATTTAGGGAATTTGATATCTGCTGGCAGAGGACCTACTAGAGATATAGAGATTGGGCTGTTTGACCATAAATTGTATTAAAGTAACAAATTACTCTGATAAGTACTGAAGATACATATTTGGCAAACATACTATAAAATATCAGAATGGAATATAGGATGAGAAAATGGATCCATAACTTATTGTGTTGGGGTACTTAGAAAATGCCAAAAGTATTCACTAGGATATTAGAATATTAGACTGTCTGTTTACCTTACAGTCTTTTGTAAGGTCACCTCTATCATCTGTGCATTTTAACGGGAGCTGAAAAGCTGATATATTAATAGGACTTGAAAAGCGTACATTCTGACCATACTCATCATCTGAGCTACTAATTAAGGAATGTTTTGTTTTTGCTTTTGTTTTGCTTTAGAAAGCAGACTAGCATTTGGTAAGTTTAACATCCTGTGTGAAAATATAGTAGCTGGATAGATGCTCTGTACAGCAGTGTACTGTAGAGGGGACAATGTTCTAGAAGTTTCTTACATGTCTTTTCCCAGTTACTATCTGTGGGGAAAAGATAAATACTTGTGGTTAGTTTGCCATCTTGAACTGGAAGTCTAGCTTAAAGTTTTGTTTTTTCTCTCTCCCTTACAATATTATATTGAGTTAAACTTATACATACAATAGGATGCACAGATCTTATATGTATAGTAGTTGAGTCCTTTTTATTGCTGAATAGTATTCTACTTCATGCATATAACCAAATAGTGTTTGTGTGTATTCTTTTGTTGATAGACATTTGGATAGTCTTCAGTTTTTGGCTATTATGAATAGTGCTGGTTTAGATACTTGTACATGTGCTCTTAAGAGTTCCATTTGTCCGGTTTGGCTCAGTGGTAAAGCGTCGGTCTGCGGACTGAAAGGTCCCAGGTTCGATTCCGTCAAGGGCATGTACATTGGTTGCAGGCACATCCCCGGTAGGGGGTGTACAAGAGGCAGCTGGTCGATGTTTCTCTCTCATCGACGTTTCTAGCTCTCTATCCCTTTCTCCTCCTCTCTGTAAAAAATCAATAAAATATATTAAAAAAAAAAAAAGAGTTCCATTTGTTTTATATCTTTGTCAACATAGTGGTGTGAAATGGTTAGCTTCTTAGGGTTTTAATTTGGGTTTCCCAGATAATGAGAGATGTTGAGCCTCGTTCATGTGCACATTAGATATTGCTTTATCTTCTTTTGTGAAGTGTCTATTGAAGTCTTATACTAATTTTATTTATTGGCCCATTTTCCTTCTTGTAATTGAATTGCAAGAGTTTTAATATATTTTGGGTAAGAGTGTCAGATAGATGTATTGGGAATATTTCTCCTAGTCTGTAGGTTGTCTTTTGATGTGCTGAAGTTTTAAATTTTCATGAAATTCAGTTCATCAAAAACATTTTTTTTAATGCTTGGTGCTTTTTGTGTTCTCTAAAAATTCTTTGCCTGTCTACTCCATGGTTACAAAGATAGTCTCAGGTATTTTTTTTTCTCAAAACTTTATAATTCTGGCTTGTACATCTTGAATTAATTTTTGATAAGTGAAGTGAGGTAAGAGTCAAGATTTATATTTTTATAGTGTGGTATAATAGGAAATATATTTATTATTTGTTCTTGGATCTGATACAAAACACC